GGGTCGGGGAGGCGCTCGCGACCCGGGGGCACAGAGCCTTGGCGGGGAGGAGAGCGGGGGTGGTCCTGCTTTGAGCCCGGGGTTGGGCTGTTCGGACGGGACCCTGGGGTCTGCGAGCCCCTCGCCCCTGTGAGTCTCAGCCGCGAAGTATCCACAGCTCCCATTTTTCTCTAGTGAAGAAGAAACGAGAAGCTCCACCGCTAAGCTGGGGGTGGGGGCAGGATTCAGCTCAAGACTGAAGCGAAACGAGTTCAAAACCTGTCTAGGAGCTTCACTGTGGGGCGGGAGCAAAGGCTGGTGGACCAGGGAATGCTGAACAAGAAGAGAAGGGCCTGCCTTACCACCCGGGAATGAAGAGCTTCAAAGGGATCAGATACAGGTTGTAACAAGCCACGAGTCCAGTGACTCCCTCAGCACTGCCCGAATAGAAATGCCGCCTTCACAGCCAATACAGCTTGTTTTAAGCTTTGGGTAGAGCAAGTATCAGAAAGGGGGAAAGGGGAGGTGCAAGCGCACCAATGCACCCCCTGCTCCAAACACCCCTGCAACCTGCTTCTTCTCTAGGAAACCTGCTCCCCTGCTCGTCCACTCTCAGAGCCAAAGTTTCTCTTCATCTCCAACCTGAATTTCCCTTGTTGCAGCTTGAGGCCCTTGCTCCTAGTCCTGTTGTTACATTTCTGTTTTGATGACAGGGTGGTGTGAATGGAATGAAATGATCCCTGAAACTATTTTGCTCGAAAATTGTAATTTGTTGCACACTTAAGCAATACCATGACTGAAACAAAACCCCAAACAGTTTGTAAAGGTATTTTTACATGGGCCTTCTGAACGATGCACAACAACTCAGGGGCCAGGCACTGTTTTGGCACCAGGGGCTGCAGTTTTGACTGGCATGGTCTCCCTTTTGCTCAGTGACAGTTCCCAGAACTTGTTTTCTTAGGCTTTCATAGCCTTTTGTAGCCCTCTTTTGTGTATTTGTATGGTCATGCTATAGATTCTCACCACTTACCTTTTACAGAGGTTCTTTTCTTATTAATATCACCCTCAGCCTGTTTCTTCTGAATTTATTTCTCACCTACTAAGCCATCTTGGCACTTGTTTTGTTTCTCTATTCTATCTTGTTTTTTTGCATTTTGGAGCTATCGACATTTTGTTTTGCTTATGTTGCCCCTGTGTTAGCTGCTTCTGTGCTCATTTTGTTTGTAGCTCATGGTGTCGCTTGTAGCTCAGGGATGATGTGTGGCAGCTTTCAGTGCTTACCCTGGCCTTGCCTGATGATTGGGGACCTTACAAGATATCTGGAAGTTCTTGATGCTGAGCCACCATGGCTAGTTTTGCATATATGCACCTTACAGCTACAAATTTTGCTATCATGCTGCTAATAACAATAAATCTCAAACAATTAGAATAAAAACAATAGGCTGTAAAATCACATTGAATACTCTTGTGGCAGATGGGGACCATCCAAGTAACAATTTCCACCAATGGTGTGTCTCTGCTCATTTAATGTTTTTAACACCTCGGTAATCTCACAGTTGTTATATCAAATTGATATTAGAATTTGTTCATCTTGTTGCTCTCTGTTTTGTTAACTGAGCTAACTCAGAGTGTGTCATTAGTTGTTTTATATACATTCCTAATTTGATTGGCACAATATCAGTATATAGTATGAGATTATGAATTAAGAATTGTGCAGTGAGTACAGGGGTTTTGAACACAAAGTCATACCTACAAATGCTAGTAACATTATAACTACACATGTAACCACTACTATCTATGGTTTGATTATGTGCTTTATTATTAATAAAAACAAAGGGGCACGGAGTGTGTAAACAAATATATCTTTGCCCAACATACACTACAATAGACTTGTCATGCTGCTGTGGTTTTGTTAACACAAAATCACATGTGCAGTGTCTTAAGTCCAAACATACACCTGTGGGGTCTAGGGTATGATTTTCCCAAATGAATTCAGTCGTGGGGTTGCATACCTGTAGGTATGTCCCCAGCTACCAACCACTACTCAGGCATTCACATTTCTTGGCCTGTCATCACCTTGTAAGGTGCGATTCAATGGGCAGCCATGAACACACTTCCCACTTTGAACTTTATTTCTCACATTGACTGCTGCATAACCTGTAGCAGGCTTTCCCTTTTTGTAATAGCTGGATCCATCAATAAACTATATACACCTGGATTCCTTTTTTTTACTTTTCCAAATGGCTCTCCTCTTTTAAACCACTTTTTTCCCAGGGCACTCACTTTTTTAACAGCCTATACAATGGAACAGCCTTCTCCGCATATTCCTTGATATAATCTTTTCAGAATCCTGTCAGTCCTAAAAAGGACTCCAAAACCATAATGTCTGTGGGAGTGGGCAATTTATGGATAAGACCTATTTTTTGCTGGACTTCATCCCCTTTTGTTTAAGATAACTTCTAAGAAAAACACCCCTTGTTTGCACAGCTACACTGAGTTTCTATAAGCACTCCCTGATTTAATAAACTGTTGTTATTGCTATTTTTCGAGGATAGTCACACCATTTTGGGCTTGTTTTGCTTCTTTATTCTGTCTTGTTTTTTCTATACAGCTGTCTACATTTGTTTTTTGCCTAAAATAGTTTCCTACGGTGCCTCTGTGCTAGTTGCCTCTGTGTTCGTTTCACTTATAGCTTGTGGTGTTCACTGGAAAGGAAAAAAAAAATGGCATCAATTATGTCAAAGCAGCTTTCTGGCCTACACTATCCCTTTCTGCCAGAGAATAGTCTATCTCCATCTTCTCTGTTATCGCCCTTCAGATATTTGATGACTGTTAACAAATCTCCCCTTGTCTTCTCTTCTCCAGAGTAAGTAACTGTAGCTCTTTCAGATTTTCCTCATAAGTCTCCCAGGCCCCTAATTATTTTTGCTGCTCTGCCCTGAACTCTTTCAAAACTGCCCACTTCCTTTTTGAAGTGTGGAGCCCTGGACTAGAATCCATATTAGGCTCTTGTCACATGCAGAGAAAGACACAATCAGTCATGAATGGTTCATGTGCAGTATAGTATGTTGCTGCTTCTGTTAGCACACACCTACATAAAGGTGCATCTGTGACTGTTCAAGGGCTACCTCTTACTTCTCTCTGACCTCAAGCTGCAGACTTCCAGCCTCTGATGTCACATTTCCTAATGAACACAGAGGACATACGCTGCCTGATTTTTTTTGTCTTCTGGTGTTCCTCTCCTACCACATGACAGTGTAGGCCATACATAGACCTGTACAACATGAGCCTCGGGTATGTTGCTGCCCAATGTGGCCATTTTCAAAGCGCCTATGGCTAAATGGCAGCAGCAGGCCTGAAGCCTGTCCTTGAGTGATGCACCATAATGTGAGCATTGCAGATACTGTGTTTGGCTTGGTCAGCAGAATACAGGAAGCCAGCCATCTGTCTAACCGAACACAATCAGACAACACAAGGTCTCAGTAAGAACAAGGCAGCTTTGTTAGCCAGTAGGGCTGTGCAAAACAGCACTGTTTTGTTTCACCTTCCATTTCTCCATTTCGATGGGACAGTGTTTCGTTTCAAGTTTCATTTAATTTCAAAAGCACTGTTCCATTTCATTTCATCAAAACTGGTTTGCTGTTTGGACGCTGTTTTGAGGTTTCACCCATAGGCTATAATAGGGAAGCATGAAACTACCTATAACTTGGGTAGATTTGGATTAAAATAGCATGGATGGTAGCCCATGCTGAGGCCATGAAGCCTGCCAAGTTTCAAGGAGATAGGTGCAGGGGTTTCTGGGAAACTGCACCTCAAGTTGCTGACAAGAAAAACTCATGGCGCGTGACTTTGTGTGTGTATTGAGGTGCACCCTCACTGGCGCTGGGGCCAGTACATAACACGGTGGTGTGCCCCAATGAGGTCTCCTCTTCCTCTGCAGCCTCAGTCCGGTCCACCACTTTAAATAACAAGAGGTAAAATAATAATTTAGTGAGCAGCAGCACAGTAGCACCAGCGGCATCTCAGGCAGCCAAACTGTCACAGACTAGAGCCTTTCTTTCCTCTCCTGCAGGAGCTTCTTCTCCAGCAGCTGCCAAGAAACTCCCCCTGCCAGCCTCAGCCCTGGGGCTTAGGTGTGCCCAAGGCCCTGCATCCTTCCAGTCAGGTGCTAGGGGTGTTGGTCTAAGGACATGGCACTGGCAGACAAGGTCCTTTGGGTCAATCTATTCTGGTATCTTCCAGCAGACCAACTGAATAGTTACAGAAATAAGTAAGGTTTCAGGTTGAAAAAGCCTTTGTCAGGCTGAGGAAGCACCTGCAGTTGGTGTGTGTGCTGTTTCTGGATGGAAGAAATAGTAAAGAAGCCAGAGGCTGATATGCAAGGCAGGAAAAAAAGCCAGTCACTGAAAATGGAAATGGAGGCATCAGGGGGTAAGGAACAGGCTGGGGGAGGGGGGGAAAAGGGGATGCAGCAGGTAAAGGTGGAGAGGTACCTGGGGAGTCAGGTGTCTGGCAGGTTGTAGTGTGTCAGAATTCCAGTGTCTATACTGAGTCCGTGAGTGTCTGTACCTAGAAGGTTGATGAAGTGCAGTACAAGGCTCATCTGTCACAAGTGGAGTACAAGGCTCATCTGTCACAAGTGGTTTGTAAATTCAAACGAGCACTGAACCTTGCTAACCTCATCACCAGAAGCCAACTTCCTACAGCCCAAAACACACTGAATGGA